ATGCCCTATAAGCCCTGTAAGCCCTATAAGCCCCATAAGCCCTATAAGCCCTACAAGCCCTATAAGCCCTATAAGCCCTATAGACCCTAAAACCCTAAAACCCCTAAACCCCTAAAACCCTAAAACCCCTAAACCCCTAAACCCCTAAACCCCTAAACCCTAAACCCTAAACCCTAAACCCTAAACCCTAAACCCTAAACCCTAAACCCTAACCCCCTCGACCATTCGGAAAACACCCAAAGCTCCTCAAGCCCCCCACAGTGTCTTGTGGCTCCTGTGCATAGGTTTGGCATCGCTGCGGCCAACATTCTTAATGGAGGACTCTTCTTCAAGGCGCACCTCCCTATTCAGGGTTTTATAAGGGAGTAGGGTGTGGGGTGTAGGGCTTAGGGTTTAGGGTTTTTGGGTTTTGGGTTCATGGGGTTTAGGGATTTGGGCCTTTTTTGGGGAGGGGGGGGGGGGGGGGGGGGGTTTGGGGTTTCGGTCTTTAAAGCTTTCGTTCAAAACCCTCACATCGTCACATCACTCAAATGTGCGCATAGTACTATTATCGTTCCTCATAGTATGATCACTGCCACTGGCTCCAGGGATGCATTCGTTCCCTCGAAGTTAGCTACAGGCCTGGCAGGTGATGGCAGGTGCAAGAATGGGCAAGAACTGCCAAGAATCAAATGCCTGGAAGGCCCTCATCTACACGGTCCTGGAGCTTGTTGGAGGAGTGGCCGCTGCTGGCATCTTCAAGTTCACCCACGAGGCGCATGGGCGTAGAGTGTTTAGGTTTGCAAGAGGATATCACGAGCTCCCATGCAACATGAAGCTGTCAAGCCTGAAATTGCAACCACCTGGTGGAATGCAAGGTTTTGGCCCGAGTATACCCCCGTCCAGATTCCAATCCCTTCAAAGCAGCCATGGCGTTGCGTGCTGCCCTCGTCGCGATGTTGCCGGCCGTGGTGGCGGCCGAGAAGTATGCTGTCATTGCTGCAGGGTCAGCAGGTTTCATGAACTATCGCCACCAAGCAGACGCTTGCCATGCCTACCAGATCATGTTGCAGAGCGGGGTGCCCGCAGACAACATCATCTTGATGATGCAGGACGACGTGGCCAACAGTTCCGAGAACCCTTTCCCGGGGCAGCTGTTCAACAAGCCGGGCGAGAACCCACCGGATGTCTACAAGGGCTGCAAGGTGGACTACTCCGGTGACATCGTGACTGGCCAGCTGTTCATGGACGTGCTGACCGGTAACACGGAGGGCGCCAAGGGCAAGGTGCTGAAGAGCGGAGCCAGCGACACCGTGTTCGTGAATTTTGTGGACCACGGCGGCCCAGGCATCATCGCCTTCCCCAACGGCCCGGTGCTTACCGTGAAGCAGCTCTCTAAGACACTGAAGACCATGCAGAGCAAGAAGATGTTCAAGCAGATGGTGTTCTACATGGAAGCCTGCGAGAGTGGCTCCATGTTCCCGGATCTCGAGAAGGACGGAAAGATCCTGGCGGTGAGCGCGTCCAACGCTGACGAATCTTCCTGGGGAACCTACTGCGGTGATGCGGCCATGGTGAAGGGCAAGAACGTGGGGTCCTGCTTAGGCGACCTCTTCTCCGTGAACTGGATGCAGGACGACGATGCTGGCAAGTTCAAATCCGAGACCTTCCGCAGCCAAATCTCTAAGGTGACGAAGTTGACCAACAAGAGCCACGTGTGCAGTTTCGGCGACGAGTCGTTTGAGGATGAGACCATTGGCAGCGTGGAGACGGCCAGCAGCCTCTCCGCGAGCCCGTCCGATACGGCCCAGGGTGCTGTGGACGCGCGGGACGTCTACCTCACTCAGGCCATGTGGGCCTGGCAGCATGCGACGGACAAGGAGTCGAAGCAGAAGGCTTGGACGCGCGTGACTGGCATCATGAAGGACAGGGAGGCCGATGAGGCCCTCTTCGCTGGCCTTGCTGCGGCTGCTTGCGCGGACGTGAACCCAGAGCGTTTGGTCCAATGCCAGCACAAGTTCTTGCACGAGCGTATGGAGATGACCCACATGGACTGCCACCACGAGTTGGCGCTTGCAGTGTATGAGCATTGCCCGGCCTCGGAGTACCACCACTCTGCCGGCGGATGGAACGGCTTCAACATGAAGTTTGCCCGGGTGCTCCTGAACATCTGCGAGGGTCAGGAAGCCCTTGGAAAGTCGACGGAGCAACTCGTGCACCTTGTCCAGGAGCACTGCACCAAGGCCTCGCGTGACCGCGCCGCTGAGATGCAGATCCTTGTGTAATGCCAGGGGCCACGAGCCTTGTTATTGTGGCGCGCCGACGCGCGCCTCATGCTTGTCTAGGTGAAATTCGCAGCTGCCGTTCCTGCTTGCTTTAGTAGGCTGCTGCAACGTCTCTATTGACCAGCGTGGGGTGAAGCCGAGTGCACTTGGCACTGCGCACCCTGCAGAAAAGACACGCTCGCGGTTGGGGGTGGTCGGGTGGTGGGGGGTGGGGTGCGCCGGGTCGAGTCATGCTACGTCCTATTGGCCCAAAGCATTGAAGGCGAGATTTTCACAATTCCCTGGTGGAAGGTTTTGGCCCGAGCATACACCCGTCCAGATTCCAATCCCTTTACGGCAGCATGGCGTTGCGTGCTGCCCTCCTCGCAGTGTTGCCGGCCGTGGTGGCGGCCGAGAAGTATGCTGTCATTGCTGCAGGGTCAGCAGGGTTCATGAACTATCGCCACCAAGCAGACGCTTGCCATGCCTACCAGATCATGTTGCAGAGCGGGGTGCCCGCAGACAACATCATCTTGATGATGCAGGACGACGTGGCCAACAGTTCCGAGAACCCGTTCCCGGGACAACTGTTCAACAAGCCGGGCGAGAACCCACCGGATGTCTACAAGGGCTGCAAGGTGGACTACTCCGGTGACATCGTGACTGGCCAGCTGTTCATGGACGTGCTGACCGGTAACACGGAGGGCGCCAAGGGCAAGGTGCTGAAGAGCGGAGCCAGCGACACCGTGTTCGTGAATTTTGTGGACCACGGCGGCCCAGGCATCATCGCCTTCCCCAACGGCCCGGTGCTTACCGTGAAGCAGCTCTCTAAGACACTGAAGACCATGCAGAGCAAGAAGATGTTCAAGCAGATGGTGTTCTACATGGAAGCCTGCGAGAGTGGCTCCATGTTCCCGGATCTCGAGAAGGACGGAAAGATCCTGGCGGTGAGCGCGTCCAACGCTGACGAATCTTCCTGGGGAACCTACTGCGGTGATGCGGCCATGGTGAAGGGCAAGAACGTGGGGTCCTGCTTAGGCGACCTCTTCTCCGTGAACTGGATGCAGGACGACGATGCTGGCAAGTTCAAATCCGAGACCTTCCGCAGCCAAATCTCTAAGGTGACGAAGTTGACCAACAAGAGCCACGTGTGCAGTTTCGGCGACGAGTCGTTTGAGGATGAGACCATTGGCAGCGTGGAGACGGCCAGCAGCCTCTCCGCGAGCCCGTCCGATACGGCCCAGGGTGCTGTGGACGCGCGGGACGTCTACCTCACTCAGGCCATGTGGGCCTGGCAGCATGCGACGGACAAGGAGTCGAAGCAGAAGGCTTGGACGCGCGTGACTGGCATCATGAAGGACAGGGAGGCCGATGAGGCCCTCTTCGCTGGCCTTGCTGCGGCTGCTTGCGCGGACGTGAACCCAGAGCGTTTGGTCCAATGCCAGCACAAGTTCTTGCACGAGCGTATGGAGATGACCCACATGGACTGCCACCACGAGTTGGCGCTTGCAGTGTATGAGCATTGCCCGGCCTCGGAGTACCACCACTCTGCCGGCGGATGGAACGGCTTCAACATGAAGTTTGCCCGGGTGCTCCTGAACATCTGCGAGGGTCAGGAAGCCCTTGGAAAGTCGACGGAGCAACTCGTGCACCTTGTCCAGGAGCACTGCACCAAGGCCTCGCGTGACCGCGCCGCTGAGATGCAGATCCTTGTGTAATGCCAGGGGCCACGAGCCTTGTTATTGTGGCGCGCCGACGCGCGCCTCATGCTTGTCTAGGTGAAATTCGCAGCTGCCGTTCCTGCTTGCTTTAGTAGGCTGCTGCAACGCCTCATTTGTAGGCCAGACAATCTCTATTGACCAGCGTGGGGTGAAGCCGAGTGCACTTGGCACTGCGCACCCTGCAGAAAAGACACGCTCGCGGTTGGGGGTGGTCGGGTGGTGGGGGGTGGGGTGCGCCGGGTCGAGTCATGCTACGTCCTATTGGCCCAAAGCATTGAAGGCGGCCGCGGTGCCTTAGAAGAGTCTTTTCGCGCTTGAAGCTGAAGAGTTGTTCGAGCCTTGAGCTTGCCACCCTGATTTTCACAATTTCCTGGTGGAAGGTTTTGGCCCGAGCATATCCCCGTCCAGATTCCAATCCCTTTAAAGCAGCCATGGCGTTGCGTGCCGCCCTCGTCGCGATGTTGCCGGCCGTGGTGGCGGCCGAGAAGTATGCTGTCATTGCTGCAGGTTCAGCAGGGTTCATGAACTATCGCCACCAAGCAGACGCTTGCCATGCCTACCAGATCATGTTGCAGAGCGGGGTGCCCGCAGACAACATCATCTTGATGATGCAGGACGACGTGGCCAACAGTTCCGAGAACCCTTTCCCGGGGCAGCTGTTCAACAAGCCGGGCGAGAACCCACCGGATGTCTACAAGGGCTGCAAGGTGGACTACTCCGGTGACATCGTGACTGGCCAGCTGTTCATGGACGTGCTGACCGGTAACACGGAGGGCGCCAAGGGCAAGGTGTTGAAGAGCGGAGCCAGCGACACCGTGTTCGTGAATTTTGTGGACCACGGCGGCCCAGGCATCATCGCCTTCCCCAACGGCCCGGTGCTTACCGTGAAGCAGCTCTCTAAGACGCTGAAGACCATGCAGAGCAAGAAGATGTTCAAGCAGATGGTGTTCTACATGGAAGCCTGCGAGAGTGGCTCCATGTTCCCGGATCTCGAGAAGGACGGAAAGATCCTGGCGGTGAGCGCGTCCAACGCTGACGAATCTTCCTGGGGAACCTACTGCGGTGATGCGGCCATGGTGAAGGGCAAGAACGTGGGGTCCTGCTTAGGCGACCTCTTCTCCGTGAACTGGATGCAGGACGACGATGCTGGCAAGTTCAAATCCGAGACCTTCCGCAGCCAAATCTCTAAGGTGACGAAGTTGACCAACAAGAGCCACGTGTGCAGTTTCGGCGACAAGTCGTTTGAGGATGAGACCATTGGCAGCGTGGAGACGGCCAGCAGCCTCTCCGCGAGCCCGTCCGATACGGCCCAGGGTGCTGTGGACGCGCGGGACGTCTACCTCACTCAGGCCATGTGGGCCTGGCAGCATGCGACGGACAAGGAGTCGAAGCAGAAGGCTTGGACGCGCGTGACTGGCATCATGAAGGACAGGGAGGCCGATGAGGCCCTCTTCGCTGGCCTTGCTGCGGCTGCTTGCGCGGACGTGAACCCAGAGCGTTTGGTCCAATGCCAGCACAAGTTCTTGCACGAGCGTATGGAGATGACCCACATGGACTGCCACCACGAGTTGGCGCTTGCAGTGCATGAGCATTGCCCGGCCTCGGAGTACCACCACTCTGCCGGCGGATGGAACGGCTTCAACATGAAGTTTGCCCGGGTGCTCCTGAACATCTGCGAGGGTCAGGAAGCCCTTGGAAAGTCGACGGAGCAACTCGTGCACCTTGTCCAGGAGCACTGCACCAAGGCCTCGCGTGACCGCACCGCTGAGATGCAGATCCTTGTGTAATGCCAGGGGCCACGAGCCTTGTTATTGTGGCGCGCCGACGCGCGCCTCATGCTTGTCTAGGTGAAATTCGCAGCTGCCGTTCCTGCTTGCTTTAGTAGGCTGCTGCAACGCCTCATTTGTAGGCCAGACAATCTCTATTGACCAGCGTGGGGTGAAGCCGAGTGCACTTGGCACTGCGCACCCTGCTGAAAAGACACGCTCGCGGTTGGGGGTGGTCGGGTGGCGCCGCGTCGAGTCATGCTATGTCCTATTGGCCCAAAGCATTGAAGGCGGCCGCGGTGCCTTAGAAAAGTCTTTTCGCGCTTGAAGCTGAAGAGTTGTTCGAGCCTTGAGCTTGCCACACTGATTTTCACAATTCCCTGGTCGAAGGTTTTGGCCCGAGCATACCCCCGTCCAGATTCCAATCCCTTTGCAGCAGCATGGCGTTGCGCGCCGCCCTCGTCGCGATGTTGCCGGCCGTGGTGGCGGCCGAGAAGTATGCTGTCATTGCTGCAGGTTCAGCAGGGTTCATGAACTATCGCCACCAAGCAGACGCTTGCCATGCCTACCAGATCATGTTGCAAAGCGGGGTGCCCGCAGACAACATCATCTTGATGATGCAGGACGACGTGGCCAACAGTTCCGAGAACCCTTTCCCGGGACAGCTGTTCAACAAGCCGGGCGAGAACCCACCGGATGTCTACAAGGGCTGCAAGGTGGACTACTCCGGTGACATCGTGACTGGCCAGCTGTTCATGGACGTGCTGACCGGTAACACGGAGGGCGCCAAGGGCAAGGTGCTGAAGAGCGGAGCCAGCGACACCGTGTTCGTGAATTTTGTGGACCACGGCGGCCCAGGCATCATCGCCTTCCCCAACGGCCCGGTGCTTACCGTGAAGCAGCTCTCTAAGACACTGAAGACCATGCAGAGCAAGAAGATGTTCAAGCAGATGGTGTTCTACATGGAAGCCTGCGAGAGTGGCTCCATGTTCCCGGATCTCGAGAAGGACGGAAAGATCCTGGCGGTGAGCGCGTCCAACGCTGACGAATCTTCCTGGGGAACCTACTGCGGTGATGCGGCCATGGTGAAGGGCAAGAACGTGGGGTCCTGCTTAGGCGACCTCTTCTCCGTGAACTGGATGCAGGACGACGATGCTGGCAAGTTCAAATCCGAGACCTTCCGCAGCCAAATCTCTAAGGTGACGAAGTTGACCAACAAGAGCCACGTGTGCAGTTTCGGCGACAAGTCGTTTGAGGATGAGACCATTGGCAGCGTGGAGACGGCCAGCAGCCTCTCCGCGAGCCCGTCCGATACGGCCCAGGGTGCTGTGGACGCGCGGGACGTCTACCTCACTCAGGCCATGTGGGCCTGGCAGCATGCGACGGACAAGGAGTCGAAGCAGAAGGCTTGGACGCGCGTGACTGGCATCATGAAGGACAGGGAGGCCGATGAGGCCCTCTTCGCTGGCCTTGCTGCGGCTGCTTGCGCGGACGTGAACCCAGAGCGTTTGGTCCAATGCCAGCACAAGTTCTTGCACGAGCGTATGGAGATGACCCACATGGACTGCCACCACGAGTTGGCGCTTGCAGTGCATGAGCATTGCCCGGCCTCGGAGTACCACCACTCTGCCGGCGGATGGAACGGCTTCAACATGAAGTTTGCCCGGGTGCTCCTGAACATCTGCGAGGGTCAGGAAGCCCTTGGAAAGTCGACAGAGCAACTCGTGCACCTTGTCCAGGAGCACTGCACCAAGGCCTCGCGTGACCGCGCCGCTGAGATGCAGATCCTTGTGTAATGCCAGGGGCCACGAGCCTTGTTATTGTGGCGCGCCGACGCGCGCCTCATGCTTGTCTAGGTGAAATTCGCAGCTGCCGTTCCTGCTTGCTTTAGTAGGCTGCTGCAACGCCTCATTTGTAGGCCAGACAATCTCTATTGACCAGCGTGGGGTGAAGCCGAGTGCACTTGGCACTGCGCACCCTGCTGAAAAGACACGCTTCCACCTGTGTGCCTGCGGCTGCCTCTCAGCAGGGTCAGCATCACGTACTTGACTTGCAAGACCGTGTGCTTGAAGTCCCGAACTTCCTGAACTTCCTCAACCCTAAACCCTAAGCGCTGCACCATAAACCCTAAACCCTAACCCTAAACCCTAAACCCTAAACCCTAACCCTAAACCCTAAACCCTAAACCCTAAACCCTAAACCCTAAACCCTAAACCCTAAACCCTAAACCCTAAACCCTAAACCCTAAACCCTGAACCCTAAACCCCCTGAACCCTTGAAAGACTCAGCTTCCTAAACCCTTGGAGTCAACACTTGGAGGTGGACCAGGATGTCCTTGAGGCCAAGAAGGTGGAGGCCTAAAGCCAGGCGGAGGCCGGTTGTTCGCTTGCAAAGACTTGTAAAATGGCCGCCGATGTCTTTTAGGGTTTAGGGTTTAGGGATTAGGGTTTAGGGTTTAGGGTATGTACTTGCGGCTTTACGTGACTTTCCGGGTTCAGGGTTTCGCAAGTGTTCTGCAATATCGGTAGCCTTTCGAAGCAACTTGATGCTGTAGCTATTTTTTGGCTCACAATTCAAGGAAGTCCCGAAAACTGGAACTTCAAGCCATGAAGCTCGTGAGTGTGCTGCTTGTGCAGCAGCTGTTTGCCGCCGATGGCTTCCAAGCTTTCAGCGACAGAGCTGAGCTGCGGGATGTCCTCGTCGACTGGTATTTCAATCCAGGTGCAGATTCTTTTTGGTCTCGGAATCGCATTCTCGCCTGAAAACAGGGGTTGATTCGGGGACCGGGAGGCCTTTTCCCCCCACGCTTTCTGCAGGCAAAACCAGCGGCTATGGCAAGGGCAAAAGGGCCCAGCTCCAGGGTCGGCTTCTGGTGGGTCCTACAGTATCCTACACTTACAGTGGTTAGTAGGGAATGAGGGAATGAGGTACCCTATATAATCCCTTAAAGGGTATATATAGGGGGATATAAGGTGCCTCATTCCCTCATTCCCTACTATATAACCAACAGCAAGTACAGTCTCCTACAGCGCACTTGGTTGGCAAAACACATGACAGCCAGAAGACCATGAAGCAGCTACTGAAAATCATTTCTGCAATACACCTGATTGGAAAACGAGAGGCAAAACAATGTTCACTTGAAGGCGACTTGAGAGAGGCATGTTTAAAAAAACGACATCTTGGTATGTTGATGACATCAACATGTCTGGCTCAGACTGCTCAATTCTTCTACCGGACTAGTTGAGGCCGGGGAATGTCTGCAACACTTCTTAGAACTTTGGCCGTTCTGAAACAACGAGTGGCCGCCGGCCTGAACAAAGCGACTGGCTTGGCAGTACGCCCTCCAAACAACAAGAACTCCCAAACCTTAGCATCCGCCGCACGGTGCAGGCAACCGCCCCGCCATCGAGGGCGTTTACGGACCGATCGAAGATTGGGACGTCTCAGCTGTCACGAGCTTTGAAGGGTTGTTCTCAACCCTGACCCTCTTCAATGAAGACATCGGAAAGTGGAACACATCCCAGGTGACAAACATGTTCGGCACATTCAACAGCTGCCGGGACTTCAACAGGGATATTGGCTCATGGGATACATCCAAGGTGACCACTATGTCAAACATGTTCGCCAATGCATGGGCCTTTAACCAGGATATTGGGTCATGGGACACATCCCAGGTGACCGATTTCATGAACATGTTCAACAGCGGCCGTGGCTTCAACGGGAACATTGCATCCTGGGATGTATCCAAGGTGACCAAATTTCGAACCATGTTCAGGGACGCGTATGCCTTCAACCAACCCATTGACACATGGGTTACATCCCGCGCGACTGACATGCGAGGCATGTTCGAACGAGCTACGGCTTTCAACCAGCCACTGAAGTCCTGGGATGTCTCCAATGTGTCGAATTTCATTGACATGTTCCGTGAAGCCACCGTCTTCAACCAGCCTCTGAATTCCTGGGATGTCTCGAATTCAGAGAATTTCGGTAGCATGTTCAATGGAGCCACGGTCTTCAATCAGTGCCTGGACTCATGGAGTGATCAGATCAATGTCACGCCCAGCTTCAATATGTTTTTAGGCACCTCATGCCCTGATGAAGACTGCACTGTTTGCCCCTCGGGCCTGTGGTGCGAAGACTTGGATGCCTTGGACTATGCGCTGTTGGGCAAGGGGGGCAAGTTGGCTGCGAAAAAATGCCTCCTGCACTCGCTGATAAAGGACTACAAGTTCCCAGAAGAGCTTCCTTCTTGGAGCCGGGTCGCAACGAAGGCTGGGCAGGCCAGAGTGTTGTGCTTCGTCATGGTCTCACTGGTGGTGGCCGCAGCTGCTTGGCGAATCCGTAGGCAGCGGCCTCTGGTCTATGAAGCGCTGTAAGAACCAGCGCCTCTCTGAGAAGCTTCCGCAAGAATTCGAAAACATAATATAGGGGCCTTGATGATTAGAATAGGGTTTTGGGGGTTATTATAGTATAGTTATACAGTAATTTTTCCGACCCCTAGAGTAAGCTGCTGTTGCGGCGAGGAATTTTAAGACAAATGCTGCTCCGTAGAGCCGTAGAGGTTTCGTTTGGCCGTAGATAGCCTTTTCATGCCTTTTCCAAAGAGTCCATTTAGCTTGTTGAAATTCTGCCTCCAGACCAAGTGATGCCATGTTCCTCTTATGAGGCTGTTCTGAGGATTCAACAATGAACACCACAAACCTTGAGCTCTAAACCCAACCCTAAACCCTAAACCCTAAACCCTAAATCCTAAACCCTAAACCCTAAACCCTAATTCCTAAACCCAAGAGGAGCCCAAGCCCTGCAACAGGAACTCTGGCACCAGGACGCTGAGCCTTTCGAGGGCAGGCGTTCCCGAACCTGTGGCAGGGAAAGCCCATGACCATCATGATTTATGGGGTTTATGGGGTTTATAGGGTTTTTTTTTCAGGGTTTATAGGGTTCATAGGATTTATGGGGCTTATGGGGGCTCATGGGTTTTATGGTTTTTTTAGGGTTTATAGGGTTCAGAGGGTTTATGGCGTCTACAGGATGTATAGGGTTCACAGGGTTTATAGGGTTTTCAGGGTTTATAGGGCTCATAGGGCTTATTGGGTTTCTAGGCTCATCGGGTCTATATTTTTTGTTTTTGGCGGCTTATGGGTTTATCGGGCTATGGGGGTTCTCGGGCCTTTTGGAGTACTACAATCGTCATGGTGGTCCTCATGACGAGTATAGTTATCATAAGTATCATGGTTATCATGATGGTTATCATGATTGGAATGGATATCAGTATCTTCAGGAGCATTGTGATCACGATTGTGTGCAGATGATGATCATGATAAGTCTGATCTTTCGTTTGTTTAGAATGCTACGGTTATCATGATTGTTATGCTTACCCTGAGAACTATGAAGGTCTTGAATATTGAGAATGTTCTGAATATTATGAGTGTGATGATTGCCATGATGGCTTTCAGGGCTGTCAGGACAATGGAAATTGCTATGATTTGTTAAGCATGGCGCAGGGTGTCATATAGGGGCCTTAGTAATTAGAACAGGTTCTGGGGGTGATTATAGAAAAAATGAAGGGACCACAAGGGAATGCCCTTATAGCATATTTATAAAGGGAACCAGAAGGGAATACTATGAGTAATTACCCCGACCCCTATAGTACGTTAAGTTTCGATAGCCGGGGCCCCTTCATCCTGCCCAGCGAGCCGCCGGAGTGGCAGCAAAACGTGTGGGGACTCCGGGGTTCGGCGTTTAGGGTTTAGGGTTTAGGGTTCAGGGTTTAGGGTTTAGGGTTTAGGGTGTAGGGTGTAGGGTTTAGGGTTTAAAGTGTGGGCCCTTCTCTGGCCTTATACCTTGGGATGTTCCCCCTTTTCCTACCAGTCCTTAAGAGGGATGATCATAGGGGCTGGTTTTGGATGTGGTCTTTCTTTGGACCCCCAAACCCTAAAACCCCAGACTCCACAGTTCGGTGCTGCCTCCTGACCCCAGCCCAAGCCCTGGTCGCAGCAGCTTCTCATACTGGCTCACGAATATGACTCAGCACTCTTTTGGGGCGTAAACCCTAAACCCTAAATCCTAAACTCTGAACGCTAAACCCTGGACCTTCAAACCTTGCCGTGTCGGGGGGTTTTCGGGTTCAGGCGTTGACCGTTGGTTTGGCGCTGGTTGACAGCTCCGCGGGCCCAGGCTTTGGGGTAGGGTTTGGGGTTTAGGGTTTAGGGTTTAGGGTTTGGGGTTTGGGGTTTAGGGTTTAGGGTTTAGGCTTTAGGGTTTAGGGTTTGGGGTTTAGGGTTTAGGGTTTGGGGTTCAGGGCTCAGGGTTCAGTGTTTAGGGCTTTGGGCTTAGGGGCTCGGGGATGCTTGATTCGTGCCGCCGCTGCTAAGGTTGCAGTCGGACAATGGGCTGCAGACATATGGCAGAGGGCTGTTTGGGCCCTTGAGGGCAGCTCAGTTATTGTAGCTCGCACACGGTTTTCACAGCTTTGGTTCCTGAATCCAGCCTGCACCTTCCTGCTCAAACATTGAAGTTCGCCCTCGAACCAATGAATCCACTGGGCAAGAACGAGTGCTTACCACAGCAATGGTCGCTATGAAGCCTACCATCGCGCTTTTGCTCTGTGCCTCGTCATCTGCGGGCGCGGCGCAGAGGGTTACACCGGCCCCTTGGCATGTGAGGGATTGAGGAGTAGTCACCTCAGCTTCCTTGCTATTCGAAGATCCGCAAAGTGCACTCATCCGTACACCAAATTCCCTGAATAAGTGCTAGGGCCATGGTCTTCAGCTCCTTCAGGCACTTCGGGCCCCGATGTGTTTCTGGTTTTTCTTTTCCGCGCCACTGGCCACCACCGGGTTCCGTGACACGGGCGTGTGCCCTGTCATCATTCTCGGCCACACTTTGTTACTTGCCCTGAAATAGAGGCTCCGACCCGGAAAGTGAAGTCAACGTTGAGAAGGCCTGCAGCACGCTCCCTTCAACATGGCTTGTAGCACATGCTGGAAAAAGTCCAAGGCCCCCTGTCCAGCTTGGAGTAACGAATCAGAGAAGCTGAACAAGGTTCTCTCACAAGTGAATGCAAAACATGCTAGTTAGGTGTCTGGAAGGTGCGGGAGGGGGGGGGGGCACGGAACAACAGACACCTGCAGAAGCAGTTCCAGTTTGGGAACTATTGCCTGCACAGAGTGGAGCCCCTAAAATCACGAATCGTTTGCGAACCCTCGCCGGGTTCCGTGGCATTCCAGGCATCGATTTGCTAGGCCCAAGTTGCCTGGCGCCCCCTCGCTCCCTAACCCTAGACCCTAAACCCTGGTGAAACTAAAACCCTAAACCCTAAACCCTAAACCCCAGTCTCTCTCCAGGCGGAGCAGACGCCGCAGCAGCAGGCCATCTTCGCGAAGCATCTTGCTCGAGCCCGAACTGAGAGCGCCCCGGTGGAGGATTTAGGGTTTAGGGTTTAGGGTTTAGGGTTTAGGGTTTAGAGTTTAGGGGTCGGAAGAACAGTATTTCTTGTGGTCCCTTTATAAATAGACTCCAAAACCTTATTCTAATTCTGAAAGACCTTATACCTGGTCAATATAATGTGCCCACCCCTTGCCCGCCCCAACACTCACAAGTAGAGTGTGCGGTGGGGTAAGGACGCACGCCGGCAAGGCGCCTTAAGGGCTGCAGCTCACTACGCACCCCCCCACTCCAACACGCAGGGATGGAGTGCTTCCCCGCTGCGGCTTCCCCCAACCTGTCGACTAGGCCGTCGGGCTTGAGCCACCGCACCGACTTTTAGGCGCCCAGCCATCCCTGTTAATAGCACGCTGCTGTAGCTGCCACGCCTCTTGCGCCGCCCACACCCCGTGCCGCCCAAGACCAGCAACCACCAAGCAACCTAAGTGACACCACCCATGGCCAAGCCGCCCCAGTCCAGACCACCCCCACAGCATCTCCACAGCATCTCGTGCCTTTGGTCCAGGCAGCCCCCCAGTTCCCGGCAACCCCCAAGAATGCTCCATCACCAGGCCCTGCAGCTGCAAGCTTCTTGAGTCCCGGCCACCTTCCACGAAGTCACGCAGCAAGCGTGAGTTTGGGCGTCATAACCTCTGAAAGACCTTATACCTGGATGTGCCCACCCCTTGCCCGCCCCAACACTCACAAGTAGAGTGTGCGGTGGGGTAAGGACGCACGCCGGCAAGGCGCCTTAAGGGCTGCAGCTCACTACGCACTAATTATTGAGGCTCCTATATGAGGGAATAATTACTAATAATGGTATTCCCTTGTGGTCCCTTTGTCTACATATATACACCATAAGAACCTCCAAAACCCTATTCTGGTTGCTTAACGGTTGCTGTTGAGCTGTTCAGGGTTTAGGGATTAGGGTTTAGGGTTTAGGGTTTCGGTAGAATCGACGTTGGGGTTCGGAGGTTGGGTGCTCCGCAGCACTTCCTTGGGTAGCGGCTAGCGGGCGAGCGGTTGTCCACACCACCGAAAGCTTCCGAAAGTTAGCACTTCTGAATCTTGTGGTGGTTTACGAAAACAAGGTACCCCTAATATAGTCCACCAAATAGTAGGATTCCTGAAAAGAAGGACCCTAATAAGATACCCCCCATTTTCGGAAACCAGCCCTGTGTTGCTGCCGCTTCAACTCCGCTTCCGAGGCGAGCCCAAATAAAACGAGCCCCAAATAGAGGATTTCCTTATCCTCAGGACCCAATAAAGTACCCCCCCCTAAACCCTAAACCCTAAACCCTAAACCCTAAACCCTAAACCCTAAACCCTAAACCCTAAACCCTAAACCCTAAACCCTAAACCCTAAGCCCTAAACCCTAAACCCTAAACCCTAAACCCTAAACCCTATTTTCGGAAACCTCCACTTAGAGAACGACTCCCATGTGACTCAGGTGCACTAGCCACTCCCAAGGTGCTTGAGTTCCTGGCCACCCGGTTCCCAGAGGGTTTAGGGTTTAGGGTTTAGGGTTTAGGAGTGTAGGGTTTAGGGCTTAGGGTTAGGAGGGTCTCTGAAATTTGGGGTCGCTTTACTTGCTTGGGGGCCTGGTGGTGCCCTGTTGCCCCTTTTTGTTGGTAGTTCAAGGTTCCCTTATACGGCAGCCAGCCACAAAAAGGGGACCCGGGGTACCCTTAGTATATTATGATTACTGGGCCACCAAGAGGCTGAAGGGAGTGAATCTGGGTCCAAGTATAGGGGAAATGTGTGGGATCTTTCGGAGATGATTGTTGGGAGGAGTTCCTCAACGCTAAACCCTAAACCCTAGACCCTAAACCCCAAACCCTAAACCTTAAAGCCTTCAGCCTAAAGCCTAAAGCCTGAAGCCTAAAGCCTAAAGCCTAAAGCCTAAAGCCAAACCCTGAACCCTAAACCTAAAGCCTAGACCCTAAACCCTAGACCATAAACCCTAAACCCTAAACCCTAAACCCCAAGGATCGTCAATATCTTGAGCCTGAGAGCAAGTGCCTGCAATACATGGAAGGCAAGGGTTGCCCCTAAGCCCCAAACCCTAAAACCCTAAACCCCAAACCCTAAACCCCAAACCCCAAACCCCTGAACCCTAAACCCTCCACCGTTTAGGGATCCGAGCCCGCCTCAGGAGTCGCCACTGGTGCGCGAGACACTTCGGAGCTGCTGCAAGGATCGCGTGTCCCAGAAGAAGCAAAGCCAGCAGCCCATTACTTGCTGTTGGCGAGAACCCTACATAATCCCTGAAAGGGTATATATATATATATGGTTCAGCGTCGAGCGTCCTGGGCCCCCCCCCCCCCCATGGTATCCCCCCCCCCCCAAGCCTACTCTACGGTCCCTAAAACCCTAAACCCTAAACCCTAAACCCTAAACCCTAAACCCTAACCCTAAACTAAACCCCCTAAAACCTAAACCCTAACCCTAAACCCTAAACCTTAAGTCTTAAACCTTAAACCCTAAACCCTAAAACCCTGAACCCTAAACCCTAACCCTAAAACCAACCCCCAACCACACCACAGGGGGGGGGGGGGATCATCTTAGTACCCCATCCGCGGGGAAAACCCTAAACCCTAAACCCTAAACCCCTAAACCCTAAACCCTAAACCCTAAAACCCTAAAACCCTAAAACCCTAAAACCCTAAAACCCTAAACCCTAAACCCTAAACCCTAAAACCCTAAAACCAACCCCCAACCACACCACAGGGGGGGGGGGGGGTACCATTGGGGGGGGGGGGGGGGGGGGGGGGGGGGGAGGGGGGGGGGGCCCGCCGGGGCTGAATCATATATATATAGGGGATATAGGGTACCCTATATAATCCCTTAAAGGGTATATATATATATATAGATAGATAGATATATATAGAGAGAGGGATATAGGTTACCCTATATCATCCTTTGAAGGGTATATATAGGGGGATGTAGGGTACCTCATTCCCTCATTCCCTACTAAAAGTTAGTGATGGTAATGCTCGCACAAAGAGTAGTATTGAAACCTCTTCATCACATAAGAAAACGAACAATGCCAGCAACACTCAGAAACGGGATGCCCGATTGCCACTGGGAGTACGAACTGTACTCAACCCTAAACCCTAAACCCTAAGCCCTAAACCCTAAACCCTAAACCCTAAACCCTAAACCCTAAACCCTACACCCTACACTCTAAACCCTAAACCCGAAACCCTAAACCCTAAACCCTAAAATAACCCTACTCGTGCGAATTTTACGAGTCGTAGCCGAAGTTCCCGACCCAGGAGGGCGGAGTCCAACGAAAGTGGCAGCTCCCACGCACTCTGATCCTGAAGGGCTTAGATTTTTTGAGGTTTGCAAGCATTGCCACCGACCCGAAACCCTAAACCCGAAACCCTAAACCCGAAACCCTAAACCCTAAACCCTAAAAGTCTAAACCCTAAAACCCTAAACCCGAAATCCTGAATCCTCAGCCCGAAGCCCTGAACCCTAAGCCCCAAACCCTAAACCCCCAAACCCTAAACCCTAAACCCTAAATCCGAAACCCTACATCCCCCTTCCGGGGAGGACTTGGCCGATGAACCTGCAGAGAGCCTCCTGAAGCGCTTCCGTGCAGAGGCGGCGAAGCCTTCAGAGTTTAGGAATCCCTAGGGTTTAGGGTTTAGGGTTTAGGGTTTTGGGAGATTGGGGAGCTTGGGGTAAGGGTTCTGGTTCCAGGTTCACATCGGACCTTTCCAGGCTCTGGACTTATGTTGGTCTGCGAGATTTAAAAAACTTCAGGCTGCTGTTGCAGGTTTTGTAGGGCTTGGTGGGTGACTTGGAGCCCGCAATTGTTGAGTCCAACCCAGAGACTGGGTTCAGTGTTTAGGTGTTTAGGTTTTCGAGCGTAGGGTTTATGGGTCTAGGGCGGTTTAGGGCCTTAGGGTTTGGGATTTAGGGTGTGTGGTTTGGGGTAATTTGGGTAACTAGTACTAGAATGTATATACGGTGATATTGGTGAGTGTATCTGTTGGGTGACTTGTTGGGGATATGTGGTAGATAGTTCATGACATGAGTGCTGCGTAACTTTAGGGGGTTTAGGTCAAACGCCACGTCGCTTTTGCAAGTAACCCTGTGATATAACAGTGCTCTCAAACCTAAACTCTGATCCCTGAACCTCAAACCCTGAACCTCAAACCCTGAGCCCCAAACCCTGAATCCTAAACCCTAAACCCTAAACCCTAAACCCTAAACCCTAAACCCTAAACCCTAAACCCTAAACCCTAAACCCTAAACCCTACGTGGAGGCAAAGGTGGCAGAGTTGGCTCACGCGTTCCCGGCGACTAGCGATGGCGGCTTCTGGCCGGATGCCATGCGCTCAGACCCCTCGGTAGGCCCTCGGGGTATTATATATTTTCCCTTGAGCTTAAGGGGATCATGTTATAGTATATATTATCCCTTGAGTTTTAAGAGGATCATGTTACATTATATATTTTCCCTTGAGTTTTAAGAGGATCATGTTTAGGAACGTTGTTCAGGGCCATCCGGGGGGGCGAGGGGAGGGGTGGAGGTTTTCTCAGTTTGTTACAAGATCCGGGTGAAATCTGGCTCACGACGGGACTTTTCCAAGTTCCATCAATCCATGTCGAACCAACGAAGAAGGGTTTAGGGTTTAGGGTTCAGGGTTCAGGGTGCGTGGAACTTTTCCAGGAAGGTCGTGCTTCCTAAGTCGGGTTGACCTTACTTCCAGCAAGCTTTCCGCCCTGTGTGGGAGAAACGCCGCTTTTTCGGTGAGGGGGCCTGGTGTTTTTTTTGTTTTGCTGTGTCGCACTTTGAACCCGCTTAGGGTTTAGGGTTTAGGGTTTAGGGTTTAGGGTTTAGGGTTTAGGGTTTAGGGTTTAGGGTTTAGGGTTTAGGGCTTAGGGTTTAGGGTTTAGGGTTTTAGACAAACCACGTCCAAAGAAAGACTCAGCCTTTATGGCTTTGTTGGTTGATCAGCGTCGGTCAACTTTGTCGAATCAAGCGTCGACCTCTCTGCACCTCCACTTCTGAGGCCTCTGCTGTTGTGGTGCTGTTGCTGCTCATGTAAGATCGCAAGACAAGCTGAAACCCTAAACCCAAAACCCTAAACCCTAAATGTCAGGTCACCCTTGATGAGCTTCACAGCGAACCTTGGTTCTTCAACGAGTGGCAGGCTCCGGTGGCACAGTGTTTGATTTGAGTCGGTAGTCGCCTGGGCTATGTGCGGACTGCAAAGGTATGCAGAAATTCACCCCCTCTGTGTGTGTGTGTGTGCTCGCACGTGTTTGCTGCCTTTTTCCAGGCTGGTTTGGCTCAGCATGTCAACTACACCGGCGGGCCAAAGGCCGGCTGACAGAGTAATCTGACTCCTACGGATGTGTGTGCAGGATAGTTCCGCTGGACGGATATCGCCAATTTGGACGTGTTGCGGAGGTTTTGTCAGGGTCCTCTTGGTTTAGGGAGACGGTAGTCGAGGGCTCATGTGTCGTGGGTTCGGAGTCCTGTTGTCGGGTCCTGTTCGGGCGGGTCGGATTTCTGAAGGGTCCGCGGGGGTTGTGGAAGAGCGGATTGAGGGGTTGGGGATGGAGTCTTACCGTTTGGGCTTCCAAGTTCAGGGAGCCCAGCTGCAATTTGTTGGCGCCGCCCTTGGCATCCTTGCCTGCGCGTTCATCTTGCGCCGAGGGGTGTTCAGGGTTTTTGGGCTTCTTGGTAGCCCAGTGGTACCACTTAGCCCATTTTTTTTGGTTATGGGTTCCCTTATAAAATGGCCAACCCCAAAGAAAGGGTGCCCTTGTCATCATAAATATGGTTACTGGGCTACCAAGGCTTAGGGATTGGGATGCTTTTGTCCTCACCACTTGGAGGTTCATGGTACTTATTAACCAATTAAAAACTGCACTTCTAACCCACTTAGAAGCCCCTTAAGTGCCCCCAATATGGTTATAAGTACAGTTGCAACAAGATCAGTGTTAGGGATCCTTTTTGCTTTTTGGGTTATGGGCTTTCTTATATATTCGCAAAAAGGATCCTTTTTTCTTCCTAGGGGAACAGGGATTAAGGTAAGTACAGTTCTCATTGGTTAGTGCCATGAACCTCCAAGCAGCAACAGGTTGTGAATGACTTGACGCAGCAGCAGATCTACGGCTGCAAACCTTTTGCCGGGACGTGGCCTACTTGGACGCTCTGTCGGAGAAGGGTTTAGGGTTTAGGGTTTAGGGTTTAGGGTTTAGGGTTTAGGGTTTAGGGTTTAGGGTTTAGGGTTTAGGGTTTAGGGTTTAGGGTTTAGGGGATAAGCCGTGATTTTTCCCAGATCGGACTCTTCGGTGTACTGCACAACGCCAAGTTTTCTGCTGATTTCGCTTGGATTCAGGTTTCTTTGTGCCTTCACTTGCACAAAGGGATTTCTGCTCGTGCAGGGGCGTGGCCCTGCAGGTATCTTGCATGGTGTTAGCGTTGATGTTTGCAGGCGCTTCAACATGGGTCGGAATAATTTCTAGTGGTATTCCCTTAGGGTCCCTATATAATTGTGCCATGATGCGAAGCAGCTTCTGACCAGTCGAGACTTTGCAAACTAGGGTTTAGGGCTTAGGGTCCTGCTCCTAATATGGACTTCTGGTGCTGCGAGGGCAAGCCCTAATGACTTGGCACCCTGTTGCTCATTAGATCACGAAGCAGCCCTCTGACCAGAAAGGGTGCGAGAACCCTAACCTTGAACCCTAAACCCTAAACCCTAAACCCTAAACCCTAAACCCTAAACCCTAAACCCTAAACCCTAAACCCTAAACCCTAAACCCTAAACCCTAAACCCTAAACCCTAAACCCTAAACCCTAACCCCTAAACCCTAAACCCTGAACCCCAAGCCCTAAACCCCAAACGCCCCACACTTCCAGGACAGAAGCGGCAGAGCGCCTGTGCCCAAGATGCAAATCGGCCAGTTCTCTGCATCTCGGGTATGTTCTTGGGTTTAGGGTTTAGGACCCGAAACCCGAAGCCCGAAACCCTAAACCCTAAACCCTAAACCCGAGGATCTACATCGCCCACAACATGCTCCGGCTCGACTTCGGCTCCTTGCCCGGCTTCGGCGCCGCGACGGCGGTGTTCAACGCCTCCCGCGTGCAGGACATGGTCCTCATCGCTCCGCCACTGGGCGTAGGGGCTTAGGGCTTAGGGTTTAGGGTTTAGGGTTTGGGGTTTAGGTTTCAGGGTTTAGGGTTGAGGGGTTTAGGGTTTAGGGTTTCGGCTTGTTATGGGGGTTTAGGAGAAGTTAGAGGACCCTTAATATAGACCCCCAAATAGTAGGATTCCTGTATGCTAAGGACCCCAACAAGGTACCCCTAATTTCTGAAACCCGCGTGTAGGGCAAGTCCATGAGTCTGAAGCAACCACTCCATGAGCAGAGCGTGCAGACAAGCTCCCGTCTGCTCCGCTCAGGCACGACACAGGCCGGGGGGGCCTTTGGCAAAAAACCCTAAACCCTAAACCCTAAACCCTAAACCCTAAGCCCCAAGCCCCAAAGCCTTTGGCAAGAAGACCCCGACCATGTTTGTCTGCGAGCGGGGCGATCCCAGGACCATTGCAAAATGTTGCAGACATGATATGAAGCAGGGTTTCTATTACTGCTATTGGTGAGTGTAGATAAGGCTCCTTTTTAATATTGGTGAGTGTATATACCTTGGGTGTCCTTTTGGGACTGTTCTTGGTGAGTGGACAAAAGGTTCCTTTTAATATTGGTGAGTGTGTATACCTGGTGTCCTCTTGGGGGTACAAGAAATATGTACCCTACTTCAAATATGTCTCCCTGCAGGTCAATACGGCATGGGGTGCCTGAAGGAGGGCATCCCAGGCACCTGGGCCCGGAGTATATGCTAGGTAGGCCCTGGGATATTACTTTCCCTTACCGGGTTGAAGAGGATCGTATTCAGCGAATATTTTTCAGAGGGGTTTAAGAGCCATCCTAGTATCTGTCTCTAGTATAGGAGAGAACATTCTAGCACCCAAGCTTTCTCTTTCATCTGGGCAGTCTGCGTGGAGATTGCTTTTCCGGAGCACAGCTTCAGTTCGGCGACTGCTGTCCTTTCTGTATGCGCGAGCCCACCGCTGCAACTTCCCAAGAATGAACCGCAAAACCCTCTTCTAATTGTTAAGGCCCCTATATTAGCTTCTCAGGTTGTGTGTCTGAAAAGTAGCATCTGCCTGTGGATTGACTTTCGAACTTGCTTCTGCATTGCGCACGAACATAGCTTTAAAGGCAGGATCCGCAGATTTTGCTATGCATCAGACAGATGCCGAAACCACCTTGACTTTCCAGGGTCTAGTTATGAATAATATTCATATTATTCCTAATATTTAGACAATATTACTAACTGGGGGTTTGGCGCTATTGATGTGCAAGTCTGCTGCTGACGTGTATCCCGTGGGCGCATACTTGGGGAGATGGGCCACCTGATGTGTGCGTCCGGACGCCGGTGCTAGCTGATCTTTGAAAGTGATGGGATTTTGATGGGGCGTCTTTCTGTAGATTTCGGGTTTAGGGTTTAGGGTTTCGGGTTTAGGGTTTCGGGCTTAGGGTTTCACCTCTTGCCGGGCTTGATTTCTGAGGAAACTTCACGACGCCCCCGCTGAACTGCTCCTGGGAAAGACACCTTTGACTGTCCATGGGTTTGGCCATGCTTACATGGTCATTTCCTTTAGCGATTGCCCCATATTTGGAGCCGAAATGGAACAGGGTTCGGGTTTGGTGGTTTAGGGTTTGGGGTTTAGGGTTTGGGGTTTAGGGTTCAGGGTTTAGGGACATGAGGCATTCAGCCAAGAGGACGCGCAAGGGACAAACCCCTAAGGCAAGCCGCCAGTCTGGCTGCAGAGCTTTTCGAGATGTGGGGCGTTTGCTGCGAAAATCGGGGGCCCCGAAAATCGATCCCCCAAATAGTAGAGGATCCCCCTTAGCATAAGGATATCATCAGGACCTAGGGCTCCTAAAATAGATTCCCAAATAGTAGGATCCCCTTAGCATAAGGACCTCAAAAAGATACCCCTAATCAGCTTCATCACTGTCGCCGGCGCTGGTGAATGAAGCACTAGGCTCGCAAACCGGGTTTAAGGTTTAGGGCTTAGGGTAGAATTAGGAGTTAGGGTATAGGCCTGTAACCGAAAACCCCGAACCCTAAACCCCAAACCCTAACCCTAAACCCCAAACCCTAAAGTATGAGGCATTATCCTTGAAGCCCAAAACCTTTGGGGTGAGCTGCCAAGGCTCTTCCTGGCCAGGACAAGCCTTGGGCACGCTGGACCGACTTGGGATTTAGGGTTTAGGGTTTAGGTCGGCTGGGCATTTCGGAAGGTTGGCGGCTGCCCGTAGGTCGCATCGCAAATGATTACTTCTTCTTCCTCGACGTAAGATGTGTGCATGCTTGTGAACTTAAGCCACGATATTGGCCCCGAAGGGCGTGTCAGTTCTACTACACCCCCCTCTCTTCGTCTCAAGCAGCTCAGCACCTGGACCAGCGAAGGACCACTTGGATCACTTAATCCTGCCGAACCTCTACATGGCCTACAACACTTCGGCGCCTCTTCCCTTCAACATGAGCCGCATGGCTGGCACGCAGCGTGCAGCATTGCGATTTCACCTGCCCCTGTGCATGTGCTAGCTTCAGCAGCTGAAGGCCAAAGCTTGCAGATCATGGGCAGCCTTATGATATGGGGAGCTTTGCTGGCCACCCCCACAGCCATGCCCCAGTGTCTAGGGGTTCGGGCTTTTAGGGTTTGATACTGGAAGTGGCCTCAAGCACTCAGGCGGCAATCGCTCAGTGCGGGATGCTGTCCAGACGCTCTTCCAGCGTTCGGCGCTGTCCAAGGCAGCGTACCAGGACCCGAAAGCCTTCCTGGGTTTCTTACTGTTGGTTAGTAGGGAATGGGGGAATAGGGTGCCAGATATCCCGTGTATACCCTTTAAGGGATTATATATGGTACCTTATTCCCCCATTCCCTACTAACCAACAGTATGGTCTAGGGTTTGAGGCGCCTTTCGACGGATCCAAGCCCTCCACGTAGCGATGACGTTGAATCAGTCAAACTCGAAGCAATCCTGCCGATTGCCAACGGGACGTTCACTCCACTGTATGGTTTAAGGTGAAGCGCTAAGGGGGGATATTATACCCCTAAACCCTAAACCCTACACCCTAAACCTTAAACCTTACACCCTAAACCCTAAACCCGGAGAGTTCAGGGTGTAGCTGAAAGAAGGCTTCAGTTGGGGAGTACCAGACCGGACTCCGCTGCCCAAGTGTGGCCAGGATGTGCCGCCTTTGGATTTCTGGTCTTCTTTCCAGTATCTCGAGGCGCATCCGCTTAAGCCTTACAGCCCCAAAAGCCCCCAAAACCCCTAAAACCCCTGAACGCCCTAAAGCCCCTAAACCCCCCAGAATCCCCTAAAGCCTCCAAAGCCTCGAAAACCCTCTAAAGCCCCCTAAAGCCCCTAAACCCCCTCAACCCCCTCAACCCTCCTCCCTCAACCCTAAACCCCAAACCCCAAACCCCAAACCCTAAATCCTAAACCCTAAACCCTAAACCCTTAAACGCCCTAAACCCTAAACCGCCCCTTAAAGCCCCTCAAAGGCCAATCTGCTTGGGAACCCCCCGCTCCCCGACTCGGTGAAGTACCTCATTGGCACCTCGGCCTTTTGAGATTTAGGGTTTAGGGTTTGGGGTTTAGGGTTTGGGGTTTAGGGTTTAGGGTTTAGAGATTTAGGGTTTAGGGTTTAGGGTTTGGGTTTCGGGTTTGGGGTTGAGAGAGTTAGGGTTTTAGGGTTTAGGGATTAGGGTTTGGGGTTTCAGGTTTGGGGGGTTGAGCCGAGTGTAGTGAGTGTACAGGGCTTGTTGCGGGGGGGGTGGGGGGTGGGGTGGGATGGGATTGAAACCCTGAGTACCTACCTAAACCCACGCCTTACTCCGGCCTCCCCCCCCCCCCCCCCCCCCCCCCCCCCCCCCCCCCCCCCCCCCCCCCAGGGTTTCAGCCTTTTTTTCGGGCGAGTTCTGGATCAGAGTTGATCCTTTTGACTCTTTGGCTCTGAAGTTCTTATGAAGTGCGAGCCTTGGCAACCCAAGACCCTAAGCCTTAAACCTGACATGTTTCAACCCACCTGAGACCCTCAACACTAAACTCTGACAACCCACCTGAGACCCTCAACCCTCAGCTCTGAACCGCTGGGAGCCTCCAGGCAACTTCCAAGTTGTTTTCGGCACCCCCGAGGCCAGGGTTCAGGGTTTCGAGTTTGGGGTTTAGGGTTTAGGGTTTCGGGATTAGGGTTCAGGGAATAGGGTTTAGGGTAATGGGTTTGCTGGACAAGGGCTTTCCCACCAGCCGCGGTGAGTTGTTACATCCCGCACCACTCAGAGTCAGCATGAAGAAGCGCGCCACTTGTATTTCTAATCCCTACGGCCCTACGGCGTCGAACCTGGGCTTCTTCGATGACATACCAACGCACTTAAGCAAACAAGGCTCATTTGCATATGTAAGTAGGCGTGTGTGTACGTAGGGTGGTTGCAATAGAGCAGCCCTGACATGAACCCCCCAAACCAAACATGGTGCAATATGACTCGGAACCCATGCTTGCCGTTTCCGAAGCACAGATCGAACAAGGTTGTTCGTCAGCACAACCTTGAGGATTCAGGTCGATTCCTTCGTACTCCAAGATTCAATGGACCGAACCAGCGGAGAGCTATCAAGCCCGCATTGGGGGATGCGAATGTAGATTCTGAACCCTAAGCCCTAAACCCTAAACCCTAAACCCTAAACCCTAACCCCTAAACCCTAAACCCTAAACCCTAAACCCTAAAACCTAAACCCTACACCCTAAACCGGGGTGAGTGGCCTGCCCCGACGAAAGTGTGATTTGGGCGTCGCCCACAATGGCGACTACAAGCATGCCTGGGCCACCCTGCTCCCAAGACACGATTTCCTACATGAGTCCATTCTACGTGTATCCACATACAATGAGTGCACTTATAACTGTACTTACAACCATGTTAGGGCACTCAAGGGGCTTATAAGTGGGTTGTAAGTACAGTTATAATTGGTTAACAAGTACGATGAACTTCCAAGTACGCCCTAAGCCCTAAATCTAAGCCCTCCAAACCCCCTAAACCCCTCTAAACCATCTAAACCCTCTACACCCTCTAAACCCTCGACCCTGAACGTATCGTTATAGCAAGTATAGTACTTAGAACATGCAGCTTTCTTGGCGAGGGTCGGGCGCTGCAGCGGCTTGCCGCAGACCGCTCCTGGTGTCTTGGCTCCTGTCATGAAGTCATTGCGGGTAAGGGTTTCGGTTTGGGGTTTGGGGTTTGGGGTTTGGGGTTTGGGGTTTAGGGTTTAGGGTTTAGGGTTTAGGGTTTAGGGTGCTGTGATAGTTGATGCTTCCGTTTGTTGCAGTGCGAAGTAGCTGGAGCTGCCAGAACAAGATGGATACCGTGCCCTCCCCAACATCAATCTTGGACATGCACGCGGTCGAGTCGGACACGCAAACGCCCGAAAGCAAAACCCCCCAAGCCCTTACATGCTTACACCCTAAACTCTGAGCCACTGAATCCCTCAGAACTCTTCCTCATCACCTTCCGACCTTGAACTCCTAAACCCTCAAGTCCTTGACCCTGAACTTTTCAACCCTTCGCCACTAAACCCTCAAGCCGAAACTGCTCGACTCTCAGGCCTCTCTTCTGGGCAGTCGGAAGCTACGTACCTGCCCAGCCAGAGAAGGCCCTGAGGGCGAAAGTTACCCTGAAGGGCCCCAGCCCTTCATGGCCAAAAAAACCCTTCAACCCCTAAACCCAACAACCCTAAACCCCCAAAGCCCTCACCTCTAAACCCTAAACCCTCTGAACCCCTAAGCCTCTGAACCCCGAAAGCCTAAGCCAGGGCTTTCAGGGTTTCTGGGCTTCGGGGGTTTGAGAGCCTCTCGTGGAGACGACACAAAATTGCACGATCCTCAAAGCAAGCAGGCCGCAGAATGACGGGGTAAAGGAATCCCAACAGAACGTAGGGGTTCAGGGCATAGGGTTGAGGCCCTCAACGCTTGACTCCAAGTTCCATAGTGTTTTGGGCTTCCAGGTCCAACCACGAGAGACAGGAGCAATACCAAGTCCTGCCTTAAACCTAAACCCCCGCAAAGTGAAGAACCCAAGAACCCCTCAACAATTTCCCAAAATCCCCAAACACACAGAAGCCCAAAAAACCCAAAACCGGCAAGCCCGGAAATCCCCCCCGCCCGGCCCCCCCCCCCCCCCCACCAAACCCTTGGTGCCACTTTTGGCAGATGGTCAAGATGACCATGGCTTCCAACCGGCGCTTCGCAGACCCGGCGAACGCCGGCAACTTCACCGACGCCGCTCTGCCCGCCGGGGCTGTGGCCGCGTTCGAGGAGGCCTCAGCCTATGGGCTCCTTCAATTCGTAGGGCTTATAGGGGTTTAGGGTTTAGGGTTAGGGTTTAGGGTTTAGGGTTTAGGGTTTCGGGTTTCGGGTTTAGGGTTTAGGGTTTAGGGTTTAGGGTTTCTTACGAGCCTACGGGCTCCTTCAAATAGATGCTTCTTAAGGGAGGGAACCTCAAGGGTATGCAACCTAAGGTTCCCTAAGACTCCCCACTACTCCACGAACCCCCCTCCCTTAAGAACCCTAGAATTCAATTGGTAGGGCTTATGGGGGTTTAGTTGATGGTTTGAAGGATGCTTGGGGGGATCTTTTGTGCTGGATCTCTCGTAGGCTCCCTTTGCTCAGCTTCCCGAAGCCCCGAAACCCCGAAGTCGAAACCCCGAAGTCGAAACCCTGAACCCTGAACCCCAAACCCTAAACCCTAAACCCCAAACCCCAAACCCTAAACCCCAAGCCCTAAACCCTAAACCCCGTGCCTCGCAGGTTTGGGCGAAGGTGGAGGAGGAGCGCTCCTCCCGGAACCTCACGGAGGCGGACGTGGCGGAAGCGCAGCTTGGCCGACGCCCAGGTGTGGATTCATAGGGTTTAGGGTTTAGGGTTTAGGGTTTAGGGTTTAGGGTTTAGGGTTTAGGGTTTAGGATTCAGAGGGTTCAGGGTTTAGGGTCCAGGGTTTAGGGTTTAGGGTTTCGGGCTTGGGGTTTAGGGTTTAGGGTTTTGGGTTTAGGGTCTTGGGTCTGGGGTGTAGGGTTCAGGGTTTGGGGTTTAGGGTTTAGGGTTGGCCAAAGTCCAAGCTTAAAGTTTGGGGTCCAAGAATCCTGCGAGCCTAGGTGGTCCCTGCTGGCCCCGCAGCAGGTGCGCGTGGCGCCACTGACCGCTGAGGTCCTGGCTCGCAAACCCGAATCCAGGTTCTGCCCGAAAACCTGAGCCTAAACCCTAAAAATGGAGTTCGGCGCCGATCGAAGTCATAGAATCACAGAGGTCCTACGCTAGATGAACCCTCGTGGACCCATGACATAAGAAGGGTCGAGGCGCCCCCCCCAAAAAAAAAAGAAATCAAAAACCAATCAAACATTGAACCCTAAACTCCAATCCACACCACCCTGTGCGATGCAACAGATGGACTCCAAACCCTAAAACCTAAACCTTCAACCCAAAACCACCCCATGAACCGTCAGCCCAAACCCCAAACCCCCAAACCCCCAAACCCCCAAACCCCCAAACCCCCAAACCCCCAACCCCCAAACCCCCAAACCCCCAAACCCCCAAACCCCCAAACCCCCAAACCCCCAAACCCCCAAACCCCCAAACCCCCAAACCCCCAAACCCCCAAACCCCCAAACCCCCAAACCCCCAAACCCCCAAACCACTATCCTGCTGCTGTTCGAGGCTTGTGGGGATCACTGCGTTGCCTTGGATGTGCGGGGGGCCTGCGTGCCTGGACCTGCTCGGATCACTTTGGGGCTTTTTGGTTTCGGGGCTTACAGCCATAGGGTTTAGGGTTTAGGGTTTAGGGTTTAGGGTTTAGGGTACAGCCAGCTAGGGGTGTGCGCCCAACAAGCCCAACACACCATCTGGGGCTCCCGGCTCTGAGGTTCAGATTGCTATAAGGGGTGTTACGAAAATAGGGGGCCCCAAAAGTCGACCCCCCCAAATTGTAGGATCCCCTTGTAAGAAGGACCCCAGTAAGGGACGCCTAATCGCGGAAACCACCAGATTGCCATAAGGTTTGAGCTTTAAGCACAACCCTAAACCCTAAACCCTAAACCCTAAACCCTAAACCCTCAACCCTAAACCCTAAACCCTAAACCCTAAACCCTAAACCCTAAACCCTAAACCCAAAAAAAACGCTGCTGAGAAACCCAGGTCTGTCGCAAGGTGGGCGATGCCCCTCCCATGCCTGAGCTTGCCCTGGTGATCTAATTTGAGGTGCTTGGTTTGTTATACTTTGTGTTATATTATTCTTGCATCTTTTTGCTATTTTGGTGGTAATGTTCTTAGTATTCTTCTTCTTCTGCTGATTATGGTATGATGAACATTATGGGCATGTAGGCAATGTGGACAGCAGGTAGGTGCCGCGGTGCTTACTCTCTTCGATCGGTTCACTTTTGCTTCCCTCACCCGAGATATGGGGCCAACCCAGATTGCCCTTCGGACTTTCTTGTAGAATGAGAACTACTTCTTGCATAAGAACCCCCAAAAAAGTAAAAGACATTCTTCCTTATAAGGGCAGAATAGGGATGATTTTTCTTCTCCTTTTTTTGGGGGGCGGGGGGTTCTTAAGCACATAGTAGATAAGTGGCTTGGTGGCCCCACATCTCCAGGGGGCTAGCCATGCGCGATCGGGAATCTGCCACCCGGCTCGCCGCCTGGGTGAAGCCAAAAACGCCCTGCTCTTCCGCTGGGAGGATGGCCCTGCGCAGCAGGGTTTCCCCATACAGTCGCCTCCGCATGCCTCCTCCAGCCAGGCATTGTTGATGGACGATGCCCAGCCTGTGGCAAAAACCGCGCTTGGCGCATTCGTGTTTGGACTTGTCGTCTCGCACCCTTGCCATCCGCTACTTGTACCTATGCCGTATCCTACACAAGACTTTGACAGATAGTTTTGGAGTGGCTGAAGCAATAGACAATAAACAATTCAGAATGTCCTAATGTAATGACATATACGTGAAAGCAAATACAACAATAAAATTTTAGTCATGTGGTAGTATACACTACCACTCCTTCACAGGGATTATTGTACCCCCTATTATAATCCCTATGAAGGACTGTTAGTATAAGGGGGAACATCCCAATCCCTAAACCCTTGAATCCTAAACCCTAAACCATGTGATGATGGACCCAGGCCAAGATCGGCCCAAGCTTGCGTTGCTTGCTTCAAGTGGCAGCATTTGCTTCTCAAGGAGTCGGCTGATCACATGGGAGAGTTGGCAAGTGGACTCCACAGTCTAGAGTGGGTTTAGGGTTTAGGGTGCTCAGGGCTTAGGGTATTTTGCCAGCCAGAAATTTGGGGCTATAGATGGAAAGACCCTTCTGTATAGATTAGGTTTATAGGGCCATCGGGTGTTGGACCAGTACGCTGTCGGTCCGACGGGAATCCTAGGTAGGATAAGGGGGGGCCCTTAAAAGGGAGCCCTTCTTAACCCTCTTCTGCTCTCTTAAGCAGGGACCTTATTCATTCAGAGGGTCTATATCCCCTAAACCCTAAACCCCAAACCCTAAACCCTAAACCCTAAACAATAAACAATGCGAGCGTCATGAAGCCATGAGAAGCCATGGTGTGGTCCTGCTTCGGTCGGCTGCGGCGGCGGGGCGCCTGCCTCGCGGCGATCTTCGTCTGGGCGACCACGCAGGCTTAGGGTTTAGGGTTCAGGGTTCAGGGTTTAGGGTTTAGGGTTTAGGGTTTGGGGTTTAGGGTTTGGGGTTTAGGGTTTAGGGTTTAGGGGTTAGGGAGGCTGGGGTTTTTGGCAGCTTCCAAGAGTCACAAGAGTCGCGAGGTTGAGGATGTAGGCTCCAGCCTCGGTAGCAGCCCGGCGGATAGATGTCCAGATACGTGCAGCCTCCCTCGCGCCCCATCAAGTGTAGGTGCTGCTCGTGGGCCACGTGGTGGAGCAGGCACCCCCCTGGAGACCCAGGCACCTCGGATGACTGAACGAGCTTCAGAAGTCAGGTTTTTGGGGTAACCCAAAACCCAAAACCCAAAACCCAAAACCCAAAACCCTAAACCCTAAACCCTAAACCCTCAACCCTCAACCCTCAACCCTCAACCCTGACCCTTAAACGCTTTGGGCTCCATGGAGTCAGGGGCCTAGTTCTTAGAGCTTGTGGGGGCTGCGTGGGGCACGCCACAATCCCGTCACTTGACATGAACCTTGCCATATGAATCCATATGAGGGGGTGTGGGTGGGTGGTGGTGTGAGAGGGTGCGGGTGGGTGGATGGTTTCTCCAGGAAATGAATTCCTATTTCGTACCTTTGCAATAGGATCCCATGCAACAGCCCCCTAAAGCGGACAGACCCTGGGTACGATGAAGCTTCAGGTGGAATCAAGGTCTCCTTGTGTTGGGGAAGTGCTCAATGTCGGACAACTTGTGCGTGTGGGATACGTCGGATACGGTCCACTGCTTTGCTTAGTTTCGCGGATGTTGTCCGCTATGGAACGGCACCCATAATTCCGAGAAGAATTTGCTGCGTGGTCCACCGAAAGGGGTGGGGCTGCGTCAGAAAGCGGGCCTTTCCTGGTCGCGCAGGGTTGGCTTGGGTTCCCTGACAGAGATCCTTGAAGAGGCGAGGCTCCTCTGACTCTTAAAGCCTTTTCGGCGGCTCCGGCGCGTCCGTAACGTGAGAGGTCCCGACCCCTTGCGCCCCAACCCCCGATCTCCCAACAAGCAAGCTTGGCAGAAGGCTTAAAACCCTAAAGCCTGAGCCCTCAAGCTCACGAACCCAACAAGATGGCTCTGCGAAAGGAAGCTGCCTTCCAGCCTGACTTGGGCCGAATACGGTCGGTGGGCTTTCTGGAGTCCTGGCAAACAGGTGATGCGATGGCCCTCAGCCCGAAACCCCAACCCCCGAACGGTATGCAGGGCTTCGGAAGCAGGGCTTAGGGTCCTGAAATCCCGAGGCATTGGGTAGATCCTCAGCAGCATCCGTGATCGACCATGATTAGGAGATGCGCAGTAGACACAATCTAGAACCTCGCAGAAGACCCACCCTCTTGGGAGCCATTCAAGTCCCGTCTTTGAGGCAATTGTTAGCTGCGAGGGTGCAGTGATTGGAGGGTTATGGACTGCTGCTAAGCAGTACTCTCATGGTCCGCCTGAATCTCTGTGGGCCCCCAAGGAGCACGTTGACCTCCTTGGGCCCTCGCAATGCTGTGACGGTGGTGAGACTTGGACGAAGGTAGGGAAGAACGAGCCCATATCCCATGCCCTCAACCGAGCCCTGAACAAACGACAAACTTGCAACTATATCGGGGCTCTTCTATGAAGTCTGGGTCTCCCAAAATCGGTTTAAGGTTCAGGAGTTCAGGGTTTCGGGTTTAGGTTCCAACCCCCCCCCCCCCCGCCCTTTCCCTCCCACTACCCTCGATCATCGCATCTCCATGTCACCACAGCTCTGCCGAAGTGCAAAAGAACCAGGCTTAGAGGCGTTTGGGGTTTATAGCGCTTGGAGGCTGCATGGAGCTAACAAGGTTTATAGGGTTTAAAACCGAAGCCCCAAACCCTTAAGCCTGAACCCCCAACACCTGAAAAGCTCCCAGGAAGGGGCTCCTTCCGCAGTTGAGCAACACCACCTTCTACTTCTCAACGGCAGACTTCCCGGCCGTGGACGGGCTCGTGGCGCTCACGATCGACGATGGGATCTGCCGAGGCAGAGGGTGGCTACTTTGGGGGTTTAGCTTTGAGTTTAAAGGTTTAGGGTTTCGAGGGTTTAGGGTTTAGGATGAGTAAATTGAAGACAGCACGACCGGGCTCATGGCACGCCAGTGTGCTTGTGGCTCGTGTACCCCTGCAAGAACCTGGGGTTTAGTGTTTAGGATTTAGGGTTTACTGTAGGGTATACGGATTTAGGGTTTAGGGTTTAGGGTGTAGGGCCGGCAGTTCCCTCGACATTTCGGGCCGAAACCCAACGATCCCAGAAGCACCACAGTCCAGGCGGCAATTGGTCAGCCTCGCTTCTCCCGGAGGCCTGGTCTGGCTGGTTCTCAGAGGAGTACCCTATAAATTCAAGTTCAGCCATGTATATTCCCGCGAAGCAACAGGGGGTGGTTGTAGTCTTGCGGTTTCGGGGCTAAGGGCTTAGGCGTTTCTGGGTTTCTGAACCGAGCGTATCGGGTTGAGCGCTCAGTCGGTGTAGTGGCCTCCGGAAATGGACCGCAGTTCTGCTAAGAATTCGCGCACTCGCATGATGGCCCGCGCTGAACCGCTCCAACCTCTCTGAGCAGGGTGGAGGGCTTGCGGGGACATCACGAACCCTAAACCCCTACACTCCTCACCCCCAAACCCCCAAACCCCTAAACCCCCAACCCCGAAACCCCCAAACCCCTAAACCCCTAAACCGCTAAACCCCTAAACCCCTAAACCCCCTAAACCCCCTCAACCCCTAAACCCCCTAAAACCCCTAAACCCCTAAAACCCCTAAACCCCTAAACCCCCAAAAGCCCTGGAAGAGCCCTACAAATACCCTTTAAGGGATTCTACAGGGTACCTCATTCCCCCCCTACCCCACTAAGAACCAGCCAGTTTCAGGTCCTCGAGCTGCTCCGGCGCAACTCTGCGAAGGCAACCTTCTTCCTGAGAGCCTTGGCCGACTCCTTCTCACGGCTTTTTGGGGCCGTTAAGGACTTCACGGGACATTGCAAGTAGGGCTAGTATCACATTATACGGTTCTATCATGTTATGTATGTAGGGTCCTTGGGCCTGGGCCCAGGGTATGAGACCACTAGGGACTTTCGAGACGGTTGTCGTTTGATACTGTGATCTTTACTCTGCGTTCAAGAGTCTAGTTCAGAATCACTACCCCTGCTCTTCTTGCTGACGGTCTCGCACTTCGTGCTGCCACGCCTCTGAAGCCCAAACCCTAAACCCTAAACCCTAAACCCTAAACCCTAAACCCTAAACCCTAAACCCTAAACCCTAAACCCTAAACCCTAAACCCTTCTGAGTGCCACTTGGTTGGCTCAACCCGAGGCTCCCACTATGTGCGGCCGGGAGACCTTCAGAGGCATAGGGGTGGTGGGGGGAAATCCCTCAAAGGGAGCCCCCAAAAAGGGTTTAGGGTTTAGGGTTTGGGGTTTAGGGTCCGCCAGTCTCGGAAACCCCCATCTATTGTCGAGTGGCTCCTGTGAGGTGTTGAGCCCAGGATGTGCTACAGGGGTCCTTGAAAGCAACGAAACGTGCGCTGCTTCAGGGAAAGGTTCGTTCTCATCAGGTTTCCCTTCTGGTTGTTGAATCGATGGATCTCTTATAGAGGGATCCCCCCCCAAAAAAAGTCCGTAGTTTAGAAAGAGAAATCTTGTACAAAAGAATTCTCACAGCGGGCCTAGTTGAGAACAACCACTATGTGAGGGTTGTTGAGCTTGTCGCAGATCCGGAGTGTATCCTCGTCCCTCAGCCCCGAACCTTGATTCCATATCGGTTGCTCTAAATCTTGGGGCCTGGTTATAGTCACAGGCCCGCTAAACCCTGAACCCTGAACCCGGAACCCTGAACCCGGAACCCTGAACCCTGAACCCTAAACCCTAAACCCTAAACCCTAAAACCTAAACCCTAAACCCTAAACCTTAAACCCTAACCCTCCCACCCCTCAACTAAAGGGACCTGAATTGTGAAAACGAACCCCCAGTGAAGCCGTGAAGGTTGATTGCTGATGGCCATGAGCTTGCAAACCACATGCCCGAGGACTGGTAGGAGATGGTAGGGACAGCTTCAGTTCTGTATCCCAAGGCCTCAGTTCGGGTTTAGGGTTTAGGGTTTAGGGTTTAGGGTTTAGGGTTAAGGGTTTAGGGTTTAGGGTTAAGGGTTTAGGGTTTAGGGTTTAGGGTTTAGGGTTTAGGGTTTAGGGTCTAGGTTTAGGGTTTAGGGTTTAGGGTTTAGGGTTTAGGGTTTAGGGTTTAGGGTTTAGGGTTTAGGGTTTAGGGTCATTGGGTTTACTCGACTTTCGGATGGCTCTAGCAGGACAAAGAGTACGCCTCGCTGCCGCTCGCGGACTTCGAGACAGCCCTCGACGAGTCGGACCGCCAGTCATGGAATTCAAGGGATCCTTGGATTTAGGGTTTAGGGTTTAGGGTTTAGGATTTCGGGTTTCGGGGTTTTAGGGTGTTAGGGTTTTAGGGTTTAGGACCCTTAAAAGGGACCTTCGGGGTTATGACGAAAGGAGGGACCTTACAAGGGACCTTAGGGAACTTAGGGGTTACTTGGGTATATACCCTCAAACGGGGCTGTAGCTCCCTGAGCTCCCTTTGAGCTCCCTGACCCCTGAACCCTAAACCCTCGGGTTCCGAGACTTGACAAGAACAAGGGAGGGGGGGGGGGATGGGTCTGTAGGTTCAGAGCAAAGAGTCGAGGTTCTTCGGTGCTGTTGCTTTGTGTTGAGGGCGCTCTGCTGTGCTGTCTCACAGCTGGGAGCCTCCCCATTTCCTTCCTTGGCAGCTTGTGCGCCTGCATGGCGAAGGAACACCTCTCGCTGGTAATCTGTGGGCATGTTGACTCGGGCAAGACCTCTTTGGCCTTCCGCCTGCTTTACGCGCTTGGGGGCCTGACGGAAAGAGAGTGCCGGGCATTGCTGGAATACCGGGAACACGCACACCCCCTCCTGATCATGGACCATTCGAAGGAGGAGCGTGAGAGGGGCATCACCATCACCTGTAAGAGGCGGGAGTTCTTCACTGAGACGTGGCGCTACACGCTCATCGACACACCAGGCCACCGCGACTTCATCAAGAACGCCCTCGTCGGTGCCTCACAAGCGGATGCTGCTATCCTCGTGGTGCCAGCCGACGGCTCCTTCTCAGCTACCCTGGCCAGAGCCAGCCGAGAGAGGTTTCTGGAGGGAGGCTCCCGGCAGTTCGGCCAAGTGCTCAACATCCTCGGTGTGCAGCAGCTTTGCGTGGTCGTCAACAAGATGGACAGTGTCGCGGCTGCTTGGAGGAAAGAGCGCTTTGAGGAGATAGCCGCTGAGGTTCGGAGAGTGCTGCTCAGGGTGGGCTGGCGTCGGGAGGTGATAGAACAGAGCACGGCGATCATTCCACTTGCTGCTGTGTATGGTGACAGCCTGGTGAGGGCTAGTGGCAGCATGCCGTGGTGGACGGGGCAGGATGTGAAGAGGGCCGGTGGGGCAGGTGAAGCAGTGAACGTTAGCACTCTGTATGATGTCTTGGACAAGGTCTTCAGGCCGCCGAAACGGCGAGCCGAGGCACCACTCTGCATGCCGGTGTCCAACACTTACCGCATATTGGTAGCCCAGTGGTACCCTTTACCCATTTTTTTTGGTTCTGGGTTCCCTTATAAACTAACCAACCCAAAAAAGGGTGCCCTTATTGTAAGAAGGTTACTGGGCTACCAAGGCATCGCTGGCGTTGGGGACGTCGTGCTCGGTCGCCTCGAGTCAGGCATGCTTCAGCCCGGGGAGCGTGTACTGTTCCTGCCGGACCGGGAGAAGGATCAGGAGGGGGATTGCTTCTATATCCCCCTTGGGATGTTTTAAAACTTTTGTTTACATAAAACCCAAGAATATTCAAACCATTCTTTTTTTGAAGGTTCTAAGGGGAGCATAGGCTTCTGTACAGCTGCAAGCATTGAGATGCATCACGAGAAGAGGGAGGGGGCAATGGCTGGCGATATTGTCGGCATCAACGTCAAGGGGCTTCGCCGACGCCCGCAAACCGGGGATCTGATGATGAGTGTCAGTGAGCTGACAGGTGGCAACGTCCTCCGTTTTGATGCGCAAGTCATGATTCTGAGCGGCCGATCGCAAATCACAGCTGGCTACATCCCCCTAGCCTTTGTCCACTGTGGCCGTGCTCCGTGCCGTCTTGTTGCCATTCGCTGGAAGATGTGCAAGCAGAGTGACAAGGCGCAGAAGATGGAATCACCAGATTTCTTAGCACCGCAGGAAATGGCGCTCTGCACGTTCGAGCCGCTGCGGCCATTCTTCTGCAATACTTTCAAAGCCGCACCCAGCTTGTCTCGTGTCATCTTCTTGGATGGCAACATGCCAGTCATGATTGGCAAGGTCGTTAGCTGTGAGCGCCAAGGAGAGGCAAACGACAAGGGCGGCAAAAAGAAGTGAACCCTGGCAGCTGATGAGCGCCGTCATCTGATGGCATGTACAGTGTACAGTGCAGGGAGTAAACCCCCTGCTGCAAGCTTTGTGCCGCAGGGCAGTGAAGTGATCCTGCAAGGTTCCGAGAGGTGTTCTTGAGCCTGATGCTTGGCTGCAAATGCTGGACACTGTGCAACCCAATGTTTCCACATATGCTCATTTCTCAAGACTACGGTCCCTTTTGGGTACCCTAGATATTTGGGGCTGCCTTCTCAGCAACCCCACAAGGGACCTCGAATCGTTGCATGGATTCGTGATGCCACCCTATCCAGGAACCCAGAGTAGGCCCTCATTCCTTTTTGGTTTAGGGCTTTATGTTCCCTTGTAAGCCCCTTGAAGCCATCTTGGGCCTGGACTGGTTATGCTATCCGATGCCTCCATGGTCTGCTCACGACTTGTTCTGCGAATACACGAGCCTAAACGGTTACCAACATGTATTCTTAGGCTATACAGGGGGATTTTTAACGTTTGAGTACCATAATTCCTGACAAGCAGCTAAAATTGTAATTTTTGCTAGGGTTCCAAGTTCAATATAGTATTTCCGTGTATACGTGTAATTTCCAATTCTAGCTACCCAAACTACCCTTCTGTTTCATGGGGCTCCTACATTACATTGCCCCGGGGCGATGTGGCGTCTAGCTTCTCTCCCTGACGCATAGATCCCGCAGATCTCAGGAGCTTAGCCCTGAACCCTGGCCCCAAAAGACGGCCCCGTGGTTTCCTCTTCAAGCCCCGAAAGCTCCCTAAGCCCCCGTAGCAGGACGCGGCGCTGCGGCCCTACATGCAAGCCGACGCGCGCCACTGGTTCCGTGCCCCACAGGCGGGATTCCCGGTGAAGCCCTGATGCCATGCTGTTGGGGTGTGGTTCGGGTTCGAAGGTTCGAAGTGGGGGTTTTGGAGTTCAGGGTTTAGGGTATCTGAGCACGAAGAGAGTATGGGCGCGGTATGAAAGCCTGGTGTGGCATGGCATGGTCTAGTATAGCTAAACCCTAAACCCTAAACCCTAAACCCTAAACCCTAAACCCTAAACCCTAAACCCTAAACCCTAAACCCTAAACCCTAAACCCTAAACCCTAAACCCTAAACCCTAAACCCTACAACCTAAACCCTAAACCCTAAACCCTAAACCCTAAACCCTAAACCCTAAACCCTAAACCCTAAACCCTAAACCCTAAACCCTAAACCCTAAACCCTAAACCCTAAACCCTAAACCCTAAACCCTAAACCCTAAACCCTAAACCCTAAGCCCTAAACCCTAAACCCTCAACCCTCAACCCTCAGCCCTAAGCCAGCTCTAGTGGACTGTCTTCGAGTAGCCGACAGGAAAAGTATCCACACCTGAAGGTCGATCAGAACATCGCTTTGCAGTTTCGCAAGCACAATGGCATAGTCACAGACAGCCGATGCCCCAAGAAATCCAACCCTAAACCCTAAACCCTATAACCCTAAACCCTATATAGATTAACGTAAATAGCCTTTCCGAGTCGCCTGAGGCGCGCCTGACGCCTGCAATGGCCACAGCTCTACAGGCGGGAATGAAGCCAGGCCCCCCCCCCCCCCCAAAAAACCAAAGACCCTGCAAGCTGAGAGCCCTAAAGGCCCGAACCCTAAACCAGAGAGTGGAAGAGGTGCTGTGAGGCAGGGCTTTGCGGTGACCTTCCTGGTAAGCCCAGTTCTGTGAAAGTTGTGCGAATGGTCGCAGAATATTGTGCGCAAGTTCTGGTGCGCAGTCGCAAGTTGCATGGAAATCTCTGGATGAGCATTTCGGTCACAGTGGCCTTCCTGAGTGGACAGGCCATGCCTGTTGTGGTGAGAGCCGACGCAAGTGTCCATGAGTTGAAGAGGCGAGCAGAGCACGCATGCCGGATTGGCATTCGGGACATCGTGAGCACGCAAGGCAAGCTTCTGCACGATGACGGCAAGCTGTGCGACAAGGGTGTGTTGGATGGTGCCGTTGTTACTGCGACGGTGCATGGAACTCGGGTGGTGACACGTTTTGCTTCCTTGGAGTATCCCACTGGGCCGGCCAAATGGGGGTCGGTATTCGCTGCCATCCGCCACGACGGCCGCGTCGTCTGCTGGGGCAATCAGCGGCAGGGCACTGGCTACAAACAGGTGCAAGACCAATTGATCGATGTCCTCACGATTTCCGCGACGGAAGAGGCTTTTGCTGCAATTCGAGCTGGCGGTTCTGTGGTAACCTGGGGCGACCCGGAAGGTGGTGGCGACAGCTCTGAAGTTCAGAGCCAGCTTGCATCTGTGAAGGAGATTACAGCCACTGCCGCAGCCTTTGCTGCACTCCGCGAAGACGGTTGCGTAGTTACCTGGGGTTGCAGAAGCTTTGGCGGAGACAGCTTGGCGGTACAAGGCCAGTTGAAGGACGTGAAAGAGATCAAAGCCACAGAAGGCGCTTTTGCTGCCATGAGATGTGACGGCACAGTGGTGACCTGGGGGCGGGCATGCGATGGTGGTGACAGCCATGCTGTGCAACGCATGCTGCGGGAGGTGAGGCAAATTACTGCTTGTGCTGGTGCTTTCGCTGCTGTGTGCGCTACGAATGAGTTGGTAGTTTGGGGCTCGTCCCAGCTAGTCCGACAGAACGTCAGGGCCGTTCATGCCTCTTGGGGCGCTTTTGCGGCAATCCAATGGGATGGGTGTGTCTTGGCTTGCGGCAGTGCAGCAGACGGCGACAGCAGTGCTGTGCAAGAGCAGCTGGTTGATATACATGACATCCAAGCCTCGGCAGGTGCTTTTGCTGCGCTTCGATCTGACGGACGTGTGGTGACGTGGGGCGATGAGGAAAATGGTTCAGACAGCAGTGCCGTGCAGGGTCAGCTGCAGAACGTGCTGAAGCTCTGGTCGACCTGGAGTGCTTTTGCCGCGCTGCGGGCGGATGGCCGGGTAATCGCCTGGGGCTCGCTGGAGGATGGTGCGGATGTAAGCTCCGTTGAAGAAGACTTGCTGGGCGTGCGGAAGATTGTGGCTACAGCTGGTGCCTTTGCAGCTCTACGATCAGATGGGCGTGTGGTTACCTGGGGTGATGTGGAGTACGGCGGAGACAGCAGCTTAGCAGTAGAGTAGGCAACTTTTGACCTCTTTTCAATTATTGTAATCCCTACATAATCCCAAAAAGTCACCTTGAGTTTTTCGAGGATACTGGACAACGAAGAACTCCTAAAACCCTTTCAAAGTCCTCAAAAGCCCCTGAAGGCCTCTCTGGACACCCACTTGACTTGGAGGTCCATGGTACCTATGAACCAATTGTACTTGTACCCACCCATACTCAGGGCATATAAGTAGATTATCAGTACAGCTATACTTGGTTAGTAAGTACCACGAACCTCCAAGTAAGGCAGCATGGTGCAAGGCCAGCTCCGGAATGTCAGCGAGATCACGGCCTCCTGGCGCGCCTTCGCAGCCATCCGGGCTGATGGGCGCATCATCGCCTGGGGGAATCCCGAGGCTGGGTTTAGGGGTTTCCGGGTTCAGGGTTTAGGGTTTAGGGTTGAGGGTTGAGGGTTGAGGGTTGGGGGTTTAGGATGTATCTAGGGTTTACGGTTTAGAGCCGTTTAGGGTCTAGGGCCCCTGAGGATGGAGGCGACACCAGCCTGGTCCAGGAGGAGCTTGCAAGCTTTGGCTGTGGAGTGCCGGCCGACCCCGACGAATAGTTGGGAATCGTTCGGGGGTTGATTCGCAACCCTAAACCCTAAACCCTAAACCCTAAACCCTAAACCCTAAACCCTAAACCCTAAACCCCAAACTCTCTTTTTAGGGTGCCTTCGTATATTCCATATCATGGACTACCTGTTCCTCGTCTTCTTCCCCTCCGGCGAGGTCACGACTGGGCCGTCGTCGTGGACAAACCTCTCTTCTATATCCTATGGCCTTCTCAAGGTTTGAGGCTACTTCAGCTCAGCCCCCACGCTACTGTGCTTGCACAGCAGAACAAGAGTCGCTAGTAGGTGCTCCCTAAGCGCCCCTGATAACCCAAAGGCCTAAACCCCCCAAACCCCCCCCTAAACCCCCTAAGCCCCCTAAACCCCCTAAACCCGCCCAAGCCCTCCAAAGCCCCAAAAATCTCCGAAGCCTTCTAAACTCCCTAAACCTCCTAAACCTCCTGATTCGCTTGCTTTCGTGAAAAACCCCCTAAACCCCCTAAACCCCCTAAACCCCCTAAACCCCCTAAACCCGCTGAACCGCCTAAACCCCCTAAACCCCCTAAACCCCCTAAACCCCCTAAATCCCCTAAATCCCTTAAATTTTTTTAATCCCCTCAACCCCCTAACCCCGTAAACCCTCCAAACCCCCTAAACCCACTAACCCCTAAATTTCGTAAACCAGCTCTAGCCCCTCGGCTCCCAAACCCTGCGCCCCTAGATTTCGGAGCCCACTTCCTGCCAGGCCAGAAACATCACCCACGCTCTGGGTGCATCTTGGCTTCGCCTAAGACAGAGTTCAGGGTTCAGGGTTGGCTTCAAGAGGGAGGTTTTTGGTTTAGGGTCTCTTTTTTTAAGGGGTGGTGGTGTCAGCATTTCATTCTTCATGCTTGTTTAGGGAGGTCGGAGGGCTTTTGGGATTTAGGGGGGCTTTAAGAGCTTTGAGGGCTTTAAGGGCTTTGAGGGCTTTGAGGGCTTTAGGCGTTTTGGGGGATGTAGGTTTAGCCATCTTGTGGTGCTTCAGGACCAGGAAGTACCTCAGAAACGCCGGTTTTGCAGCAATCAGAACCTGCATTGGGGGATTCTCCAAGTTATGGGCCCTTTTGGATACCTCACACACAAGGCTTCGGAGCATAATATGGTTTAGGGTCTAGGGCTTGATCCCCAGAAGAGGGAGCAATTTAGAGAACCTCCCACATCCCAAGTGCGAACCCCTAGGTCCCTCCGCATGCGACTCCCTCTACGGGTAGTTTCAAGGGTTCCGATGTACCCTTGGGTTGTATAGGACATGATGGGGTATAGGTGGGGTAC